ATCAATATCATTAGCGTCAGAAAGAAGAAAACTGAGAGTCAAAAAAAAGTGAGAGTCATTTTTGCAAGCCCCTCTGATTATATATATACTTACCTAGTAGACTCTTCCCTAGAATCCATATTGGGTTCTCGACTTAGTAACTACGAAATCACACACCCCAGCCTCCTCCCAAAAACAACACAAATCATTGGTTTCAGAAGGGTTCACAGGGTGGGTCTGGCTGGGTCTGGCTGACCAGGATCGGGAGCCGCTGCGGGAAGTATATATCCATAAGCTGGATGTAGCCCATTTTGGGGATGATCTTAGTGAGAGACCGTCGCACTGTTTGGATCGTTTTTGGGCTAGCGTTCCAAGCCGTCGTCCACACCACCTGTCCCACCGTCGTCCTTTCGCCACCACGGACTGCGCATTTCGTGCGGCTTTTCACGGAGCGTCCGTGTGGACCAAGAGCGGGGAAGGTACCTGAGATCGCATCCTCCTAACTAAGTGGAAGGATCAGAAATGCTGCGAAACACCGAAAGCCGGAGAACGGCCAGGTAGACACTACCAGGAGACCCCAAAGGGTGTTGTCACCAATTGGCACCCCTTGGGGTCTCCTGGTCCATGCAGCATACACCAAGTTCTTCCGATTCTCTTCACTGGAAGTCTCTCGGGCTGAGCCCACCACCCGCTCCCAGGACCACGCGTACCTGAAGCGACCAAACCGAAGCTGATGATTGAACCTGGGAATCCCGGGTTCCGTCCTACAGTGATCATAGGAAGACATGGGGCACAGCGGTGCATACGCGGTGCATACGCGGTGCATACGCGGTGCATACGCGGTGCATCAGCGAAACATGAACACCGTCGAACATTTGGAAAAACACAGCTCTGGTGGATCCAGCTGCATCCATACATGTGTATTTTTAGGTGCGACTTGTGCTTCGTTTGGGTCAGCATGAGGGTGGAACTGCTCAAGAATCCAAGCAGCTCAAGGGATAGAATGATTCCTGGAATATTAATTCATCAGTCAATGGGCAACTGAGTCGACCTATACCTGTCATTACCAGTGACTTCCACTGCCAAGTTGGCAAAAATGTCCAGACGAAACATCATCCACAGTATCATCCACTTCCAATTGCCTGACATTAATTGAAAGCTTAGGAAACCCTACTTTTTGGGGGGACATGGCCGGCTAAACCGGCCGGCTCATGTTGTTGAACCGGTGTCTCCACCAGTTCCACGGCGCACCGATCCGCTGCTGTGTCCCCCGTGCCGTGCCTTTAAAGGGCATGGCTGGCGAGTTCCGGACGGACCAAAAGGGCGAGTGAGCCGCGCCGCGAGTGAGCCGCGGGCGCCCAGAACTGTCGCGGTTCCAGTTTCCGGGATTCCGCGCGAGGTGGGACATGGCCGGACTGTGGAGAAATGGTGAGAAGCTTAGGGAGTCAGACAAGTGTACATTCGGATGCGTATACCCAGAGAACTGCCCGTTGATCCACTGCCGATTAGTGAATTAGTGGAGAAAAGTTTGGCAAGCACACCAACCAACGGCTATATTCCCTAATGCTTGTGTCAGCAGATGTTTTTGTGGATGTCGCTGAGAGAGTTATCGGGGCTAAGCCCCGCCTGTGCTGCTTGTCTCATCAAACAGCTTGAAGGCTTCTGGAGGGCCGATTGGCCCTGGCGTTTGAGCTTGTTGCTTTGGATATTTGGTTCAGACCGGGCTGGGACTGGTCGGAGGCCCCTGGTCTCCTGGTCCCAGCGCAGAGATGCGATCGGTGCTTCTGAGATTCGTGCCAGGCCAAATCTGGTCTTTGGGCATCCCAGGCTGGAAAGGAAAGTGCTTTGGGGATGGGGGAATAAGATATCAGGTCCATTTGCCTCAAGGAATGAGATGGAATGAGGAGCCAATTCAACAGGATCAAGTGTCCACCACAGGTATGGGAGGACAAATGACCCAAGCAAAACAAGTTGCTTCCCTTCTCGTCCCCTAATCTTCTAGTCGTCGACTCTCATTGTCAGCCCTCTTCCCTTCAAATCTGAGCCAACTAGCAGGGTTTGGACTCCCCTTTGAGTTGGTTGGGGGCTCAAGAATACCAGATCAAAAGGTGGGCATTTGCCAGTTTGTGGAGAAGGCACTGACGCTCTTGAGTTGATGCAGTAGAGGAGTCTAGCACCACAAGGTCTCCCTGATCAAATCTAATGGATCCAATAGATGGGTCCATTTCTTTGTGGCACCTTCAGGAGTTGGCCCCGCAGCCTTGGCAGTAGGTTTTGTACTCACAAAGTGGAGTTCATCCTATACCTGGGTAGTGTGGACCCCCTCATTTACTTAGGTTTGCATGTTTAGGATGTTGCCCCCGCACTCTGTCAAGTACTTGATGTTTCTTGAATGCATGAATACCAAGCTTGCACTTTGCGATGCTCTACTGCGAAGTGTTTTAATTAATGCAGTTCATATATCCCCCCATGTTGCTGTAGTTCAAAGCTGCTTTAAACATGCACGGCAACGCACCTGATTGGCTCAAGAGGATTTTAAGAGGTTGGATATGAACCTCAATGTTGCAAGGTGTTGACTTGACTCACATGAATCGAGACCAGTTACAATAGTTGTGCACCCTCAGCAGCCGATTGGAATGCAACTACTCCACAGCATTTGAGACAGAGGTTAACTACATCCTGCCAGAATCTGAGACAGGCCAAAAGTCGTGAAGGGTTCCCCTCGAGTGGTGAAGGACATCTGACTTCCCCAACATTTAGCCATCCTTCGCACAAGCCACCCGCATGTATACTCCGCTCCTCCACCTTCAGATCGAACGACGTGACGCGCGTACCTTTCGCACCGCGCGGACCTATCCGCACACCCTCCCTTCTTTGAACCGCTTGAGCGAAGCGCTCGCGGTTTCCGTCGCGAACGGGCCGCTCCGTGCGTTGCCGTTGTGTTCCGCTCATGCTGAAGCATGCTGACGGTCAGCCCGTGTCCTTAGACGCCTTCGAGGTCGAAGTGAGGGTCGATGTGAGTGCGCATGTGGAAGGTTCTGAGGGTCCGCGGGTGGAAAGGGAGGTGTAAATTCACTGGATTCCCACGAGTTGCCTGGAGTGAAAAACCACCTATATTTGTACTGGATTTCATGGCCATCTAAGGGGCCATGCCATCCACGTTAACCATGATTGTTCCAGGGAATATCGATCCAAGCACTGTGCACCAAGTGCTCTCATTGGCCAAGTTGCTTTGACGGAAGGTTCTTGACAAGTCATAACCGCTTTGGTAAGGTGATGAGACAGCCCACACAGTGACAACTTTGCTTCGCCAAGGCCAAGGTCTTCCTTTCCAAGTCATTATTGTGTGTTTTGCTGCTTTGCTGATGTTTCCAGCAGAGAGGTTGTGTTCGTGGATGTTTGCCAATTGGACATTACAGCTGGGCGGTTGTTCTGGGGAGGTGTACTTTTCTGTACATTATATATATATAACAGGTTCATTGGAGATCGTGTTCAACTTCACGGGCAAAGATGGTCACACATACTGCATCTCATTCATAGCGCTTGTTGTGAAATCCGTTGGGCCTTCAGCATAGTCTTGAGATGTTGTTGATGTCTCAAAACAGGGGTGCTTCCCATTCTTCTACCAGATCGATCACCACATGATCATTACACAAGATTTCAATAAAACAGGAGGTCTCCACATGTTCTCAAGATGGTGAAGTCAGTGAAGTCTCCTTCTTTAAGAGACAACGCCACCTCTTTACCATGTCTGACCGCAATCGCCTGAGGCAGCAACGTGGAGACGCAAAACCACCGGCGCCAAAGCCCTTCGGCGCCAAGACGGATCCGCTCCGACCACCGGGGCAGCCACCGTTGTGCTGAGCGCAGCAAGATGGCCACGTGCCACTGATATACCTACCGGGAAAGTACGTGTGGATCACCTGCAGGTCACCCTTTTTGAGAGAAAGGCTCGGACACGGTACCAGTATCAGCGGTGAAAAACAACCACCATGTATAGTTATTTGATGTATACAACTGGGATATTCTGGGATCAATGATGAACGCTATATATATATATATGCCAGCCCCATTAGTCGTGTTTTGGGATAGCATGAGGATAGACTCGATACAAATAGACCTCGCAAGTGACAAGAGTCACAGTCGCCTGGCGGGACAAAAGCCTACTACTTCCTTTGGCTGGGCATCTTTGATTTGAAGCGATCGATTACCTTCAGTTTCAGGTGTCACCGTGGTTAATCCATCTTAAGGATCCAACCACATCACCACGTCCTCAGGAAATATCGGATCTGACCGATCGAACCTAGCACATTCTACTAGTTCCACCAGCCACCCTTCAGAATTGGTGGCAGTGGATCCTTTTCGCTGTCCGGTGCCCAGCACTTCTCTGAAAAGAGAGGTCCCCACTGATCACAAGTTGGGCTGATCGGGAACTGCAGGAAAGACTGTTAAAGACCTCAGAGTCTGTGGATTGAAGTGTGGGACCGAGACTATTTCTCAAAACGGTTTCGATCTCTATGCTTCTAGCCTGAACTCTATTGGAGTTAGATTGGATTGACAGCTCCACCGCCAAGCAGAGCCCATTTTGGTCATTGAATGCCCTGTATTGTCTGTATGGTGTACATATATACTTTTTATGTATGTGTGCAAGCTTTGCGTTTGTGTGCAAGTCTATTCTTAGGGTTTCTATCAGTATCCTGTGATTTCGATGTGTCCATAAAGCTCCTCTGTAATAATCATATGTCAGTATCTTGAGTTGTAGGCGGCTGTTGATCATGGGTAGCCCAGAATTCTGCGCCACCTCGGAGGGTCTCCCCATACATCCAACTGAACCCGACTTGCAAGATTGATCAACATCTATACCCAGACCATCCATGTATGGAATAATTTGACAAATGTCATTCATTAGGGTTAAGTAAACCACTTAGGCTATCTCTGATGGTTTTGCCAAATAGTAAAAAAGCAAGAACAAAACAGCAACTACAAAAAGCAACAGTAAAAAAGAGCGATTCCAAAAAGCACATGAACAAGCAAAAAGCGAAAAATAAGCGACACAAAAACGTGAGAAAAAAGCATGAACAAGCAAAAAGCGAACAAAAACAAAATGCGGACAAACAAGAGAAAAAAAGCAATGCACACACAAAAAACAACAAACCACACAAAAACATCAAAAAAGCAGCTGAAAATTGCTTTTGCTTTTTGGGTTTGCATTTTTGTTGCTTTTGCTTGTGCATGTGCTTTTGTTTTTTTGGCTTTTTGGATTTGCGTCTTTTTGGCTGTTGCTTTTTGTATGTAATTGCTTTTGGTTTTGCCTGGGTCCGGCGAACACCACATGGATGGGGCCTAACTTGGATGGGGTTTGCCTGTATGTAACTATTTGATACATGGATGGTTTGGGAGTCCAGAATTCCGCTTCAAACACCTCCGGCTCGCAGGTAGGAAAGCGGCTGCAATGAGGTGTGTTTAGTTAGACCCCCTCAGGAGGTGTTTGGAGTCCTATGGTGCATGTCACTATATGTATAGCAACTGTTCTTCTTTTCAACGAATCTATATATAGAATATCTCTTATCGATAGCATATCTCTATATACATATCAAAAGATACACATATAGATAATCAGATATGTATAGAAATAAATAAATATATATATATATATTATATGCTTCCCATATCTATGCTTCCCTACATATATCTATATGTAGGGCTCCTGGCCCATCTCATCCACCCCAACCATCGAACCTCAGGAGGTGGGCCAGGAGCCCTAGGGATCATTATATATATATATGTCAAAAAAGCCTTGGACTCGCCCTAGGCGAAGAGCGCCGGCGGGCCGAGTCGGGAGAGAAGCCCTGGGACCAGGCGTCTTGGTCTTGCGTGGGCCTGATGGGCATCTATGGCAGTCCCATGGGTCGTGTCTGGGGAACATATTTAATACACAGATTCCAGTTTTTATTGGTTTAATATGTTTTAATATTGATACTGTGGTATCAAACAGTTTATTTTCTTTTGTTTTCACGCAGTGTAGGGTGTGTGATTGAATAATTGATACATGCATGTATACACGGAATTTGTTCTTACGTATGGCTGGGAGGTTGACCCATCGAATAGTTACATCAAATGAATATACATATCAATATCCCAGACCATCCCATTAAAACAAAAATAGTTACTTTAATGAATGGGTTATTTGGAATTGGGTGAATGCATGTGACCATGCCATACATGGATGGTGTGGCATGAATCAGTATTCCAACAATAGTCATTATAACGTATATTTCATATGGGGTATAATGATTTTTGTTGGAATACTGATTGAAGAACAACCTAAGACTTAAGATATACTCTTATATGATTGTTTGACAATACCCACTGATTGTGGGCATGTTCAAACCTAAAGTGTTTTGTTACAGAAAACAAAAAACCAAACAGTCCAAGGGACTGGCATCATACGTGACCCCGGAATACAGGCACATCGCTGGCCGTTTCTAGTCCCAGAGAGGCGGTGTTTGGGATATGTTTTGCTACCTTCGTCGCTTGGTGGCAATGCCAGGAGCCCCTAGTAGCGTCCTTGCTCCTAATAGCGATGCCCTTTGCTACCAGTATGTTTGACATGTCCAAAGGCTGCGCATCATTCTTTGACCCGACGAGGGGCATCTGAAAGTCTCACCCACTGGAAGATTCATCGCATTTGGCTTTTGTCCCTGGGCATGTTTGGGGGATGAATCTCTGGTTGTGGCGATGCCGGTCTGGCAAAGAAAGAGAAGATGATTTGTTTGTAGGAGGGTTTCATGCAACCATAATAATGTTTGGTTCTGCGAAGACATAGGGAACTGAACTGACCAACCCATGTCTCAATTGGAGTGTTTGGCTGCGGACAGACAAATCTTCACAGTGCAATGGCTGTACGGATGGGTGGATGGATGGATTGACGGATGGATGGGTAGAGATATAGCGGTATATATAAATAGAGGTATAGTAGGTATCGAGATGTAGAGATAGATCTGAAGATAGATAGATTTGATAGATAGCATAGATAGATTGATAGATCGATCCATAATAGATAGATGTAATTCTAGCAATGATTAGTTTGATGATTTTGGGCATGTTTAAGACAGATTGAACTCATTCTTGACGCTTCCAGGGGCCTCAGCTTAGGTTTGTATTTCTTGGTTTGGGGCCGTCTCGTCTCGTCGCCGCTTCCGCCGCCCATCCTCCGCAGAACTTCCAACCGCGCTCTCGGGCGACGCCGGCTGGGGGTGCCCAATTTGGGCCGAGAGACGTGGGGTGATGGGGGGGGTGGGGAAGCTGGGGCAGGCAAAGACTCTTGGATATGTTCATGTTTGTTTATGTCATGGAAGGAACATTCTCCTGCATACATTGACCATCATCAACCCCTTTTCGCTTGCTCCCCAATTCTGGTTGGTACATAGAATATCATAGAATTAAATAAGACGATCCCCAGTTCAAAGTGTTTGAGCCATCAAAGTTCTTTTCCCCAGTTCAAACCTGAACCATGTTGTGCTTTCTTGGTAGTATTCGAGAGCTGGGATGGTTCCCGGTAAGGATTGAACCACTTGCAAGCTTCGGTGGACCCTGGACGTAACACCAATTCTTAGTAGTTCTCGACGTCTTCAAGTTCGTGGCTGCAATTCTTCTGGAATCAGAACGATTTTTCTCTACTACGACGTGTTGGAAAAGTAAGCTGCGCCATACTGAGCAAGCACGAAAACGGCCCAGCGGCAGACGCAAGTCGTCCTTGACGTCTTCTTCGTCAAGACGACACCGATCCCGGGCGTTTCGTCACGAAGCGAACCGTTTGGTTGTTGGCATACATGTCTGCGAGAGGACCACTGGACCCTGAAAACCACGTCGGTTGGTAGAGGAAAACACTCATAAACAGGGGGCCAGGATGTCAGGGTCTATGTGAGTTTTCGGGAGTGTAAGTGTCTCGAGGCATGGAAGTTGACATGTTTAGAGCATGAGGCACACAGTGCCGTTGGGTCTAGCTCATTCTAGATGTGAGGACGGAGAATCCAGAAGAAGGGCAAGCCTGCGTCAAACGTTTGAAACTTTTGCTGGAAGTTGCCAACAGTTGCATCTCGAGAAGGAACTAGAGGAGACCGAGCAGAATCTGAGAAGATCGCTTGGCAACCGCAGTGTGGTTGTCAATAACAAGGCTCGAGAACCCCACAGGCAGCAAGGAGGCGTTGCCGTGCAAGAAGTGTGGGGGGCCAACGCCTCTCGCCGCCTGCCTGCACGCGGGTCTTACGCTCCTTACGCCCGCGACAGGGGTGTTTTCTGGGCAGTTTCTCGCCAAAGGTGCGGTCTGCGCCTCTTGCCTGTGGGCTGAGATGGCTGAAGATCAGAGTGGCCAAGATCAGAGTGGCCAAGCAGGAGTGGCCAAGCAGCCGTATCCAAAAGCTTCTTCTTTGACAACTGTGATCCCTCGCACGAAAAAGCCATCCGTGGTGTCGCTCGCTGCAGGAGCTCCTGCTGCGCAGTTCTGATTCTCGGCGCTCGCGCCACAAACGTGCCCAGCAGTTTGGGTGTTACTGGTTGTAAGTAAATAATGACGTTAGTATAGAAACGTGTTTTTTTGCCCAAGTGAGACCAACCGTGAAGCCGTCCGTAGGCTTCCTGGAGATGCGCCGGTGCTCACGCCGCACCTTTTGTGCCCGATGACGGCACCTGCCCGGTGAGTTTCACGCCTAGGCGAGGACCTCCAGCAAGCAGAACCTCATAGGCGGCCGATGAGCACCAGCGTCCTCACGGGGGAGACGTACATGATAGTACCATGAGACGTATCATGTTTCCATAAGATTGGTGAGACTCATGATGGCCATGGTTGATGCTCCCTGATGTTCCTATGGCCGTTAGTGTTACACAGTACACATGGCTGTTGTAGTTGATGATGCGATGGTGATGTTTTTCATGATCTTTGAAGGGCACTGTTCAAATTCGACCAGACCTGTCTTGGAGATCGGGGTTTTGCCGATCCAATCCCAGCCCCGATCCAAACCACGCTGTTTCTCGGGAGTCAGGACTGCCCAAATGGTTTGGTTGGGAGCTGGCAGCAAAGGGCTAGCCGCTATTAGTAGAAAAAAGCTACGCACGTAGCTCCTGGCATTACTACTAGGAACAAGAAGCTACTATAGTAACAAGGGCATTACTACTAGTAGCAAGAAGCTACTAGTAACTGTTCAATCATACCTTGCAGCCGCAATGTGTGTCCCGAAAGACTGAATCACTTGACAACACTTTCGAGGTAAAATCTGTTTCAATCCCGCCAGCATCCCAAAACGGTAAAACCATGACCGTTTGTTTTATGAATTTGTTTGTTTCAGCAAGGTGCAATACGACATGTCAGTCCAACCTGAGTTGACCCTGTTACTTGGTGATGCTTGATATGCCTGTATCCCCCCCTTCCGCGGCACGGACCGACTCGCATCATGCCGGTGCATCCAAGCTCAGCAGGTAGCAGAAGCTTTCGACTGGAGGACGGACTACTCGTGGGACCCACGGCATCGCGACCCGTGTCGCTTCATCCGTTTCGGGGGGCCGTCGGTCAGTTTGGAGGTCCCTGAATCATCTCTACTTGGTGGTCAAAGTACTTTGGGATGTAGCAAATGTAAGACGATGTCGGAGTCTTGATTCTGTACAGAATCCATACCGTCTATATCCACAAGAATTGCAACCGTGAAAAGTAAAGACCTGAAGGACCTCAGTTTCCTCAGTCATCCCATTGATCTACGACCAGTTACGAAAGGTAGCTTCAGCTACCTGAGTTCTCCTTGCTTTAGCAAACATGTATTACAATCTGGAGTTGGGATTATGCACTGCGTTTGGTCCTGTAAGAAGGGATTCTGTAAGACGTGTACTGCAAGACCAAGACCAGCGTTGATGCGGATGTGAAAGATTTGCTACCTTTCGTTCACCCCCTTCTATCTCAATAGATCAACCGCAATGGACAGTTGAGTGGGGATTACTGTACAATATATTACAACCACCCAGTAAAAGTGATCTTCTATGCAGGTGAACTGGCCGTGTATGCGACTTTTTGCTTGCCAAACTTTGTGGGACCCTGTTAGGAGTAGGGAGACAGGAGACACTACCCAAACTCACCAGGTCGATGTTCCAAGAGAATCAGAGGTTTCTCAGGTATTTCGGTATTTCCTGAGTCCTCTCGGACCTGTTGAAAGAAAGAAAGGTCCTTGCTTCCCTCAGTCCGCTTCTTCCATCAGAAACCATCAGAAACCGGTTTCTTTTGGACTCACTCACTTCGTGACTGGCACACCCATCCCTCTGCATCCGACTCGTCTTCGAACGTCCCTCGCCTCGGGAGAAGCACCGATGTCCACGGCACCGATGTCGGATGCGTCGAGATGTCTCGATCAGCTCCTGCCGTGTGCAAGAACTCCGATCAACTGAGCGACCTCCTTAGAGGAGTTTGACTGAAATCTCGAAGTCGCCACGACTTCCCTTCCTGGAAGTTCCAACATATTCCATGAAATTGGATGCTTCCAACTTGAATGGCAGGGAATTCCAACATGAATTCCTTTACAGTTGCGATTGCTTTCTCTTCACCACCAGCCTCCAGCTTCCGCCTTTTTTCCGGCTCAGAACCGGCTCAGAAACGTCAGTCTCCACAGGACATCGACCGGGTGAAGCTCACCTGGCAGCAACGGCTCTTGCTCACCCTGGAAGAGTCCGGGCTGCCCGGGGTCGGGAGGGTCTGTGATGCTCCCGGTCGGGTCCCGTGGGGGGCGAGGTCCGGGTGGTCAGATTGGCAAGAAAGACGATAATGACCCGATGGATGTTGTGGGTAGTTGGACACCTACTTGTTTTCCATTTAAAACATATTTAAACTCATTTCAACCCAGCTGGGATGGGGTTGGACACCAACTACTCTGCTGCTGGGCACCTGTTTGGAGGGTTCCCAAATGGACCGAAAGCATGTCGACATTACAAATCGATGAATAAATTTCAGTAACCCTGGCCCAAGCTTAAGTGTTTTTTTGTCATTGTAGAAACCATGTTATGATCATGTTGGATGCTGCAATCACTTGTAATCTTCAGCTGCTCGAAAGGCTGGCGCTTCAACAAACACATCATAATGAACCACCCAAAAAGCACAGCTGGCGCTGCATAGCTGAGGCCCTCCTACAGCCTCACAGCGCGTGTGATCTCGAGGGGGTGCCTAGTGCCGTGGGAAGCTCTCCTTCCGTCTCGCCGTGGATCTCTAGCATTGATCGTTGATCCCAGACACGGCATTTTTTTGGTATATTAAATAACATGAAATAACTAGATTGGGGTGGTTGTTTTCCGGGGTCAATGTATGTAATACTGTGCCAATCCCTTACTCGTGTTGAGATTTTTATGTTGTTGACTGTTCATGATGAAGGTCCCTTTCTACGGGCTCACCTAGGCTCACTGGATTTGCTCATACATCCGGTAGTACGCTGAACGTGTGGATCCTGTTTACCTGGCAAGTAATAGGGGTTCATGACTCATGGTTGTTGAATGGTTTCATCAAGACGCAAACCTTGGCAAGGAAGCGTTTCTTGTCCTGCGCTTCTATTTGACCACATATTTGACCATTATGTTCCTTTCCGACAAAATCCCACATCACAAGCCTCGTTCTGAAGGCACCTTGTTCAGTCCCGCGTTGCGGGGAGGCAGGGGTGCGGATGACCGAACCTCATACACCGATCACAGGAACGCCCTCCCTTTCAAGCCACGATGCCCACGAGCAGAACTAGTGCCTGATAGTGCCTGCATTCAAGCCTACAGGTCAGTTGGACGTCATGAAAGACTGGAGTTGTGATGTTTTATATAACGGTCCACACCCGGTTCGCTCCTCCACTGCAGGGGTGGGGTAGTGGCTACCCCGCAGTGGCGGGATGCGACAGAGTCACTATAGACATCTATAGACATAGGCAGTAGCTCAAAGACTGGAGTTGATGATACAACAACACGACTCAATCAAGCTGTAGAGAATAACTACACTCTCTAACTCTATAGTATTACACGGGCCACATGTGCTTCTTCCGTCTTCTTGGCGCCGGGCATCCAGGTCGAACGGTCCGCTGCCGGTCTCATCGAACGGAGCCGAGGTATTTCATGCTATTGACCATCTGCGGCACCATTTGTTTTTTCGTCCTGGAGGCCGTGCACCAGGTGTTTTCCACACGTCCTGGATGTGGTATTCTTGCTTCAAGAGATCAAGGGAATTAGTATTGAATATTGTGATTGGTGGGCGGAATACGGGCAAAGTGTTCGGGGTGATAGAGGTTGCGCACATTTCGCTGAGGAACATCCCAGGGATCAACACCTCAGCATGGTATTCCCCAAGATCCAGTGTCGAAAGCTGTTTCCCAGGCTGCACGTTTCACCTTCTGTAAATGATCCAGGTCCAGGTTCCAATCCAGATGTAGCAGTTGCATATAGTAGCTATAGTTAGCTATATACCGTCAAGGATTCGGCCCCCTTCGATCCGAAGAAGCTGTGCAGCTTCTTTGATCGAACAAGCTCCAATTGCAATGCCCTAGTGCTCCAGAGCATCTCTGAGAAGGTATCCGGAAAATCATCTTCTGAGCATGGGTTCGGAGGGAAAGTTCTCTGAGGATGTAGACTCTTGAGGACCATGTACCCACCCATAACCACCCCATTTGAAACACCTCTTCATATGGGGGGTGTTATTAATCAAGAGTCTACACTAATTAGCTGTCCTTTATGAAGTGAAGCAATGAAGAACAGTGACAAAGAACAGTGAAGAATAAGAACATTGATTAGTGAAGCAAGAACAGCGAAGCAGTGACATACCTCCTGTAGAATTTGGATTTATATTTATAACTTACAACATTCTTCCCCTTTTAGGTTGTAGAACCCATTAATCAAGTGAATCAAGAGTCTACATTAAACACATTGATCTTGGTACCCGAGCTGCCGAGTAAATAGCAAAGCCTCCTGTTCCAAAGGATTTGACTAACAAAAACACAACATGTTTGCTTTGGGGCTGTGCCATTTTTGTTGCTGCACATTCTAGTACTAGAGGATATCTAAGAATCCAACCCTCCTTAGTAGGGTTGAACATGGTTGAACCCTGCACAGCAGGGGGCTTGTACCCTCAAAATCCTATGTGTTTAAGGTCCAAGATCCGGTATTAGAATACTAAAACAATCGAACACCAGCATTACCACCGATGAAGTCATCCAATCCTACACCCTGGTTCCGAGACTCACATGAAACCTGAAAACCACGTCGGGTTTTAGAGAAGAACACCGTCTTCGCAGGTGCATAGCCGTTCGCCCGGTTCCATGTGGGTCTTGGAACCTGGGTGTAGTCCAGCTTCTCCAAGAAAATCACCGGATTCTCGAATCCTCCCTGCGAGGCCGAGCCGGACCTAGCGGATTGGGAAGGCGGTGAGGGGAAGGCAGTGTCTTGAAGTGGGAAGTGGCACCCAAATGCGCTGGACGCGAGGAACTCATGTTCACGGAAACCTGCGATTTGGGGAGAGGATGTGACTTCGAACAGTAATCAGTTGAACATCACTCATTGGTCGAAACATGTCGAAACAGTCCCGCTAAATAAAGTTGTTTGGGGGGTCCCTCACATTGCTTTGATGGACACCATCCACCATGGGAGGGAGTCCGAACTGAACCTCAAACTTCAGTTTGTTTTGCCTCGCAAAGGCCTACTGAGCTTCATTTGTGACAACCACCTTCACAATCCAATGAACAATTTCATGTAATGGTTGAGGTCGATGTTCAGCAGGTTGCTTCTGCACTGGCACAATGTTTCTGCTTGAAGTAGAGGCCAATCTTCTGGAAATGTCCTCCTTAAATTAAGGTGAAAAAGGCAGAGGTTCTCAACGGAAACGGGAACTACCCTCCCGTAACATTGACATTGACACTGGACAATGGATAGGAAGACTACTTTAATCTACACGGGGTAGAGAAGCTCTTGATACAGGATATATGTGTTTGCTTGATGAGAGCCATTTATTTCAATTCAACTTCGCCTAACACACTTGATTGGAATGGAGCAGCTTGTCCAGGGCAGCCCAGTACATGCTTGATTATAATAGATGATCAGATGTTGTTCTCAGACCAAATTGGGGTCCAAAATGGGCGGTGAAGTCCCAAGCACGTTGGGTAGGCTGTTCGGCTGTAAGAACTGGATCACTATAGATAACCATACCCTATCCATAGCGGACAACCTGTCTTTGAGAACAGCGGACAACAGGAGAACCTGGCCATGATTCCACAAAAGGATCATTCCTGTCACGAATCCCCGGTCACCACCATGAAACAACTGCTTGTTCCGACCTTGAGATCCTTACAGAAGCGGCCGATCACGCGGCGGATCGACGGAGGTACCGGTCCTTCGTGGCGTTTTGGGGACTGGGGATGCCATCTCAAGACCAGGTGTTTCACGGAAAGGACGGGAGGGGTGGAAGCATCCAAAACGAGTCCCAACAGGAAAGTTTGGAGGTATTGAGCTCATGAAGGGATGTGACGTGTCATGACTTGTGGATGTCCACCAAGCATCATTTTTGGCTGGTCTTGAACCCATCGTGCTGGTCGAAGGACTTCTGAGCTTGACATTTTGCCAGGTTGGTATGCGCTTGAAATCTTCAGCACAGCCGTCTTCACAATCGAGTGCCCTCTTCGTCCACCCCGTCGGCTTGGTGGGCGTTCTCGTGGCTTGGCTTGGGTGAGTCGATATGCATCGGCCGATAAAACCTACAGCGTCCATTCCAACCATTCGTCCGTTGTGAAAAACACACATATCGCCCGCGTATATAAGCCACCAGAAGTAGGGTGACTACAAGTTAGGCTGAACATGTTTTTTTTTTGTTAGATCTTCTGAAATCCGCTAGGAGAATCTTCCTATTTTGTAATGCTTTCCTAACATCTAGCAAGCAACACAGGTTGAGAGGGACAGACAGGAAAAGGATGGAAAAGGTCCACTCCCCAGGTGAAACAGTCGTGAACTGGATGCCAGCCTCAGAGAACAGTCGTATTATGTATCATTTCTTTTTTGGAGAACTGTCCGAACTTCCCGTTCCTGTAATTCACTGTTAACAAGTGGCTTTATGTTTGTTGTGTGCTTAATTTATATATATATATATATATTAGTTTGCTTAAGTTGCCAAGAGAGGTCTATATGAAGTCTTCACTTACCCAAAAGCAAGGTGTGATATGAAAAGACAACACATGCCCATACAATCCCATGCCTGCCTTTTTGATCTAGACCGCGCAGTGGGATAAGTGGGATACTCTGCGTTTCCCGTGCGTAACCTGGGCTGTGAACACTGAGAGGTACTTGTTGCGTTTCCTGGTGTCCAATGCCTTTGGGAGCCCCACGCGGCTGGAGTTTTTGAGGTGCGCCGGCCGCCATGGCCAGTTGGGTCCTTTGACCGTTCAAAGAACGAAGTAGATTGCATTCAGCGGCTGAGGGGCGGAAAAGTGGACACTGAAAAGACCCCAATGATTCCGGCCCGTGGTTTGCAACTCCATTCTGGAAGACCTGGTGAGTTACAACATATTTGGACAACCATCTCGCGAGGGCGAATTATATAGGTTCTTCAGGAGTGTAGAGTCACGCATTGAGGATTGCCCAGAAGCCCACCAAAGCCGAGCTTTGATTCACCAGAATACACCAGAATTGTGCATGGCTACATGACATGTCCAAAATCCACCAGGTTCCAAAAAGCAGCACCCACCAACACATCACTTGTAGGGGATCCCAAAAGATGCTTCCGTTCGGAAACGAAGGATGCAACGTGTTCGAGGTCCGCGTCTTTGTGACAACGCTCCCAGCTGCTGTTGGGCGGCTGTAGGGATCCGTGGTTGCGCCGGAGTTGTTCGGATCGAGTGTGATACGCTTGGATCACCACTGATGATAAAAGTATGAACCATCTCTGAGATTTCAACTCTAAAAGATTGCAGCTATACAAATGATATAATACACATTAATATATGTGTATACATTTAATATGACATATCAAGGGATACACATCTATACAGCTATTGGGTCTGGATTGGGCCCGCGGGCCCGCAGTCCGCTGCCGCCAGGAGTCCCATGAATGTGCTTGATGTCCGGGGCCTCGGCCAACCAAGCGTCCGCTGCTTCCAGTCCAGGAAGTTCATTCCAGTCCGCTGCTCGTGTTGATTTGATGTTAATTTGAATTGAAACAGGAAGGAATCTCAATCCAAAAGACTTTGGTGGCCGCTTTCGATATATATCTTTTTATGAGATCAACCGTGAGGTCCGAAGAATTGGTTGTGATTCGTGTTGAATTTCGCAACTGGTTTCAATTGAGTCCGAGCCCTAGGGACGGCCAAATGTTTCTGTTTGTCAGACCCTTCCTTGCGGGACGGAACCTTTCCCATTCTCAACACCACTAAGTCGACCTTTCCCATTCCGCAGTCCAAGCAGTCGACCACTAAAGACCTTTTCCATTCAAACTGGGACCTGTCCAGAGAGCATGGACCGTCCTCCTCTCTCGCCAAGGATGGCGGGATGGCGGGATGTTTGGGCTCAGGTCTTAGCCATCTCGCCCTTTTATGTGGAGCTCCTCTCCCAGTCGGTGGCGGTGGCCACTTGGGCAGACCGAAACACTCGGAGCCGCTGACACAGGTGATCCAGTCTGTTTGTTTTTATTTGCAATTGAATGGGGAGACACCCTGGCCCAAGTGGCAGACTGGTCTTGGGTCGTTGCCTGGGAGATCTCCCTATTTGAGCTACACACCCATCAATTGTTCAGAGGGTTGACAAGGTGTTGAACACTCAGAGTGTCCAGAGCACCTTGGCCAACATGTTTGGCTGCCATTTCAACGCAGATGTTGGGGCGACCGCCTCCCGACATAGTGGCCAGGCAACTGGACACAATGGAACAAAGTTCGGATTTGTGCATATGTTTGGGGGCAGAAAAGAATAGCACCAAGTTGAGGGGCAGACACTGGGACTTTGGCAACTCTGGTTCCTCTTGAAGGACTCAAACTGTTTGCTCATTAGAAACTGGTCCCATATAGGCAGAAATGCGGCTGGCTTGCCCTGAAATAACGAACGAAATAGCCGCTGTTGCCAAGCTTGCTGTCAGATGCTGTAATTGTTCAATTATGATACCACTACGCCGGTGGATATGGGGTTCACCCACTTCCAACATACCACGCCGAAACACCGACAGAAATCACTTTTTGGCCCTTCTGACCAAGCAGAGTCCAGAGTTTACCAGCCATCAATGTAACCGGCTGGTTGAACTGGATGAACCACCGCTGCGATAACAGCCACCTTGTGGCAGACAGCTGTTGGTTGGTAGGCAAATTCATAACACGTTGTAAGTTCCGCTATATATGATTATATATATTTATATAATCCACCATGTGTTCCCAAAGAATGTTGTTCATTGTGGCCACCGCAGCTGCTGAGGACCTCGGTGCTTTTCTATTATTTGAAAGGGTAGGAGTGGCCTATAGGCCCTGGAAAAGCCTTCATACTTGAACATATTTGAATATGTCATATACCAACTGCTTCCAAGGGGTCACCAATGGACATCTCCACACTACGTAAACAGGTCTCCCTGTCCAGGGCACCCCGACAGGAAGCGCTAGGAAAAGGTATATGGAGTATGATGGAGCATTTGGGGATGTTTCCCACCACATGTTCCTGTGTTCTTCGACCCTGTCGACCCTGTCGACCGGGAGCGGTGGGACCTGGACATGAACGGATTTCCGCTTTTTTAAATGGTTCTTTGGAGTGCACTGTGAGACACCCCCACCAGGAGCTTCTGGTAGTTTCTATAGATACGCCCCCTAGATCCACGACCAAACAAGTGCAAGAGTTATATATTCATACTCAAGTTTCATTAAGTTTTCCGTTGCTTCCGATTGAAACATAGTGGACATGAATCGTTGGCAACATGTGCCGCTTCCTCAGGGGCCTTTGGCCGTTCTTCGATCTGCATCTTGGCTCGGATGGAATATCTGAGGATCTTGTAAGCCGAGCGGAGTCACCACGGTGTACCTGGATTTGGGATTTTAGGGACTGGGGGAGAGTTCTGGAAGACATCCAAACTTCCAAACAACAAGAACACCAGTCATTGCCAGTCGTTTTTCTTTTGTTTATTCACCTTCTTTGGAGTTTGGAGATCTCAATAAACACAATTTGGTGCAATATCCTTCCCCTCCAAGAAGAACTGACATGGAAGTGGATGGCATGGGCAATGTGGATGTTCCTAATTTCTGTTCCTCTACCAACAGGGGGGCGTCATTCACTTCCATCTTAGTTTTCCTTGGAGTGTGAAAACCACCAGCCATTCCCGCGGGCAGCGGGCAGCCACACAGCTGAGATCTCACGGTCGGTCGGAAAGGGCCTTCAGTGGAAGGCGTGCTTCAAAAACTTAAACCGAAAGAACGCCTTTCCGCGCCATCCCGGGCTTTCCCAAGTTCCAGCTGAAGTAGTTAATTATATGGGTGTGTAAGAGGGAGACCCCCAACCTTTTGGGATTCGGTCTACCTTTCTTCCAGGCGGTCGCAGTGTCGAAGAGAGGACCTGCGACTGGTAACAGTTTTGAACCTAATCCGGACTAGACCTACATCAGGTTTGTGGTCCAACTCCAGAGTTTGGCATGGTCATGGAGATGATTTGGGTTGGAACGTTTGAGTCGGGCCAAACATCATCCCCAAACCACTACAAGTTTGTTGGATTGTGCCGGCTCCACACCACTGACGACTGGGTCAAATATATACCAATGTAACAATGTACCAAGACCAAGGCATAGCGAGACCTTTCCCCTTTTGAAATCCCAGTTCAGGGCCTACAAGAATCATTCATGGGCAACTCCAAAGAAGTCCAAATTCAAGGTCCAAGTGGCATCAGCAGCCAGTACGTACAGCGACCTAGAAAAAAGAACAGAAAGAAACTGTCCCAGCTGAGCAAAACACTTGATTGATAGTTTGATACCGCTGTTTGTGATTGGTGTTTTGCTTTCTATAGAGCAAACCTTCAAGCCCTTCATCCCTCTTCATCTGGTCATCATGTGTCAGAGAATCCCCCCAAAGAAATATCAAGAAATGCCACCCACGATTCCGGCCAAAAAGAAACACAGAACCCATCGAACGAGACTCCGAGCACCGAATGCGCGACAAAAACGCTTCGAACTCCCAAATGGAACGCTTCGAACTCCCCGCACGGAGCGAGGTGCGACTGATCCGGATCTTCCGCATCTTTCGCCTGAGCCGCTATTCCATGGGGTACCCTGGACCCAGCGCGGGACGGTTCCGCAGCTTTCGCTCTCCGACCACGACGACGACCACGACGACGCGGGGGTAAGAAATGCCCTGCTGTTTTGGGGTGTGAGCTGTTTGAAGTTGCTTTCGGGAGACAACACGCAGCTTGGGGTGAGGGTGGGAGTTTATTTGGTTAATTCTGAGTTTGTATATTGTGTTTTTTGTGGAGGCCGGGAGGCTCAATGTTATTTGATTGTTTGTTTGTCGACGATTGTTGGGATCCAGTGTTCGTGAAAGTTGATGAAGGATAAAGGGGGTTGGGATGGGGTGGGTAGACTTGGTGAGATATGTTTGAGATTCTCTTATGCTTCGATCTCGGAAAGCTCCTACTGGCAACTGGAGGCTGTTGGAGTGAAAAAAGGTCCCATGTTAGTCAACTAATTGGGGGATCTAGGATTTTGCATTGGAGGAATGTTTGCACTCCCTGAACTGGAACATGTTTCTTGGAAAACCATGTTCCTCTACAAACACCCCTGGTTGTCCACTTCTATATGTTTGTTAGTTCTAGGGAGAGTGATTTCATGTAATCTCAATTTATCGCCGACGGTGGTGCTCTGACGGTGACTAAGTCATCTCGTCTCGATCGCCGGGTCTACGGTCCAGATCGCTCGTGTTGAACCGTCCATAAACTCATCGGCTAATACGTATGGTATAGTCATCACATGGTATAGATGCGAAGTCCTCGTGTCCTTAGGCAGTAACTATAGTACAATTCCCAGACACTCCATGGGACTGCCATATATGCCGCCCCATTGACCCCTCTGGCACCACCCCAATCTGGGCATAGTGTTTGGGATGGCTTGGACATCATGTAAGCTAGTCCTTCATAAGCAGTATGTAAGCATAAGGGCTTGTCCAATACTCCATAGTATGGAGGGGCAGTATATAAGCTAGTCCTTCATAAGCCCTCTCTTGGTTTTTCAATATAGAGCATTGCGCATATTCTCGAACGATTGTGTTGCTTCGGAGGGAGACTCATTCGGACGGTATCCATGGTTCACCTGTAATGTTGGTCAGGTGACCAAGAAGGGAAAGAGAACAGACCAAAATCCGCCTCAACCTGTAAAGATGTTCCTTTTGGTTTGACCTTTATTGGATCCACACCTACTTAAAAGACCTTAGACATGGGTATGGAGGCTCTTGATGGAGAGCTTGTCGTGCACAATATATCATGATGCCCTTAATGTGCCTAAAGGCCCATCCAAGGGTCTCCATCCAATATCTCCATGCTGCTACTATCACTCTCACACCCCCAAGTGTTATTGGCGCACCCACCCTTCAGCTTCGTGGTCCGAAACCTTCACACCACCCGGTCTCCGCACGGAAAAACACGCGCGATTCCGGTCGGTCTCTGAGGATGAGTATCATGATTCATTCCCTGGTGGCTTCAGTCCAGCCGCTGATCATCCTTTTGTGCCGAGCTCAGGGCTCCGAGCCGTCGAGCCGTTGGTTTCACGGCGGCGAGCTGCAAGCTGCTTCACCGGTCCGCTGTTTTCGGAGCGGTGATGTCGGCAGTCTGTAGATGGCACAGTCCCCAAGGTTTGGTTCATTGGGGATGGACCTATGGACCCTGGGGTTGTGGACATGGACCCTGGGGTTTATCTAAATGTCATCTTGGGGTGCCAGTGCCGTTGAACCTCTGAAACCACTGCAACTGAAAGATCCAGCTGGAGAGTCCATGGGGATCCGGGGTCACCACGAGACCGACCGGGGTCGTACCCTATCGGCTACTTGGTGGACTGGTCGAGCTCCAGATTCAAGTACCCATCCCCGGATCCGATTTCTCCACCAGGGGCCGTCTCCATTGGGTTCACTAAATTGGAAGATTCCAGAAGTGGAGACTATCTGGTATGCACCCTGGGCCGCATCTTTTTGTCGCTTCTTCCAATGTTTGCGGGTGGTCTGACCAGTCTGAAGCCAAACGGTCGAAGAAGTACCTCGTGATGCTGGTTGCGAACGAGGTTTTTCCTTTGCATCGGCGGCACCCTCTTCAGGCCGCGTCGTGTGTCACGGCTCGCGGAGCCATGCGTGCGCGAAGAGCGAGTGCAGAAACCCGCTCCAGGGGGCAATGAGTAACATGGAAGATGGCTTCGTTCTAGTAGAGCGGAGGAAAATGGTACTGTATGGATAAGAAGGTGATCTAAGAGGCCCTATAGTATATGATACTACTTTGTCCAGAATCTAATTAGATGGTTTGTCTATCTCTTTTTTTTGAGGTATAGTCCTATAGTCTACCCCTGGGCTCTTGAAATAAGCATGTAAGCATGGTTAAACCAACAACATGTGCGCTTTGAGCTGGCCTCGTTTTCTGGATAAGGTCTTTGTTGAAATATATCCTGCAGACAAGGAACTCATAATTTTGGCATGTGGACAACACCCGAGTCCGTCAGTCTCTTTTGAACAAGATGTGAGAAGATGACGATGACCCTAAAGAGATCCAGGTACTTCAAAGAACCCATATGAATGTTCGGGCGCACCAACGTGTTGGGTCTCCGTAGACAACGTTGGACTGACAGATGAGCATATCAATACTGGTACCAGCTAGCAGCTCACATAATTTGAGTATAAGGTCCCTTGCTTTTTGCCATGTGGTGAGCGAACTCATATTTTGTGGATAATGAACGTCTATCAGGAGGGTTGTACCATGTCTTGGCCTTTAAATGATATGAAATATTACATACGAGGATATCGTTTGAGCGAGGGAAACATTCGAGCAATGCTGTTGAGACTTCATCTTCAGTGTTTGTGCCTCCCAGTGGATCCTGGTATATACTCCCAAATATACAACCAGGGCCCTTGGTCAGCCTAGATTTCCAAGTTTGAGAGCCTGACCAGTGGTGGATCCAATGACCGTCACGAGGGATGCTGGCAGATCTCTGACAGATCCTTTGCCCAGATTTGCCGCAGATCTTCTTGTCATCCTTTTTGGGTTGCTGTAGCTAGGATACCAGTACCAGTACTAGTCGGACCGAGAAAGCAACCTGGTCCCACCGCATTGGAGTACGGTTTCTTTTCGCATTTGTTGGCCCGGTGTGTTTGGAGGTCACCTGTAGGGAACCAGGACTTGAGGTCTACTGGAAAACTGGTTACCTATCGTGTTAGCTGGATCATGCTGGATCGCTTGTGGCAAAGACCTCTCACGACTCGCCACTCATCTGCGACACTCGCAGCTCACTGGTGTACTATGCGGAGAAGATGTACTGCTGGGGGCTCCCAGCGAGCTCCGGGGAAACAACAAGGTCACCTTTGATCTAGCGTTGACCGCAGATTCGGAACCCCCCCCCATATTGACCAGGCTGTGCTTGGAGAGTCATGCCCTACTTTCATTGGTTCATGATACAGACAGATGGCTTTGGTGCCATATGCGCATCTCAAGGCGTTGTGAATTCCAAAGTCCTTGTTTGGGTTCGGAATCTCCAATACAAACGCTGTCATACTGCAACACGACCAAATTACACAAAGCACACGTGTGCTGGCCTGGGGCATGTTCCAGCAGAGGGGATGGCAGGCCTTTGTTGGAGCA